TCAATTTGTTCATTAATAATTCCATGTGCATCCGCGCGACGCTCTATTGTTAATTAAGTAGGGCGAAATTTCGACGTATGTAGAAAACACAAACACAGAGAATTGTTTATCTGTGAAAATTATAGCAGGGAAAATCTGATAAGTCCTCTTTGATCAATTTTTTTAATTTCCTCGTCACTCGATGGTTAAAGGCAAGCATATTATTAAGTAAAGAAAAATTTGCAACAGTTAGCAAAGACAATTATGAAGAATGAAATTATTACAGGACTGAAGAATCGCTGGTTTTCAATTCCTCGATAAAAGAACTAAAGGTTGGCGTAAAGGACGATAAAGGAAAAAAATTCGATATCGCGGTAAATTCCCCGTGTCCGATAGAATGGACATAGAATCGTTCTTCGGCTCATATCCTTGCCCAGACCCGATCGAGTGTTGGTCCTTTTCAACGCCTCCAGGACTCCATAAAAATCAAAATCTAATAACGCTCGTTGCCGGGTAACGGGACACAGCGGAAAGTGGTCCTCAAAGAAATTCCACGGAATTATTGCACCGACTGGCTTACGCTCTTATTCACAACTATCACACTCCTAACACTTATTTATATCGAACGATATTCGATTAGTGCAACTTCACACGATGATTGAAATTTAATCTAATAGCAATATCTCGGTACGTAATTAACATGAATGCACGGTATACGTAATTTAAATAAATGTTATTGACCGAAATTTGAGATCTTCGATATAAAACGAAAAGTCTATGTGAAGAGAAAACCCATTGAAAAATTAATGTATTGAATTGTATTGCGTGTTAATTATGAAATATGCCATTTAGTAAGAATTGAAGAAATTCTGGAAAGAGAAAAATATTTGAAGAATATTTGGGTGGTAAAATATTTTACTTATGCATAAACAGTAATTTTCTACGAATTATTTAAACATATGCAATACGTGTAATAATTACATGCAATATTTATTATTACATACCACGTATAAATGAATACGTAATAAATTATTTATATGTTTATTACTAGTATGTATTTACATAAATTATGTAGGAAACAATAACGATGTTATTACAAAATAATGGACCGATCTGGCGAACGGTCAGATTATTTCAAGCAAATACAAATCGTAATATATTTCAATATATTTTGTTTAATTAGCCAATGATTTATGGATAGAAGTGTGAGTTCATCGTTTTCTTCTCTCCGCGTAGCTTTTATTTAATCAATTCCGCCAGTTTCGCGATATTGAGAAGCTCGCCTGAGATCTTTTTATCATTCGAATAAACTCTGCATTCGCTGGAGAGGAGAGAGGGAAGGGGGAAAAATCCATTTGGTTTTATGCAGCCGGTAAACACGGTTCTAGACTGAAGAACGAATCCCCGGTTGCTTCGTAAATTTTTTTCGCAAGATCATAGCCGACGTAATACTTCCCGTCCCGTGGTATTCGAAGTGTTTTAGAGATTAAACGCAATCAAAGGCTCGAGCATGCGCGTTTCCGTTAACCAATTTTTTAATAAACAAGGTACGAGTGAATTTAAAAAAACCAGAGAGAATTTTATGTAGAAAAAATTGCTGAAAACGGCGAATTAAATGAAGACTATGCGTACAAAATGTGTTATATGAATTCATGGGGTATTTTCACTCGAAAGAGCAAACGATTTGATTTCCACTCTTGCATTCGATTTTTACTTCTTATGTAACTGCTATTATGAATGTTCTTTTTTTTTCTTATGTTTCAAATGATACGAATGATGATAATGTTAAAAAATACCAAGTTCGTAGCTTTACTAACTTTAATCCTAATTTAAATATTGCCTATGACCTCTGAATTGACTACGATGTATTAAAATAAAATTAATGAAGCAAATATTTGAAATTGTTGGACAATGAGCAATGTTTTCGAACCACTTTTTGAATAGTTTTTAAATTTAGAAACGTTGAATTAAATATTATATAACAAACAATTATTATTCCAAGCAATAAAATATTGTATTAAATTATTCAACGTTCAATTTAAAAAGAAAGTAAACTATACAAATGTACAGATATTGTATTAAACGATAAAATACTGTATTAAGTTGTGACATTTGATTAAAAAATACGAACATTTAATTAAATAGACGAGCATTGTGTTTAAAAAAATATCGATAATTTTAGTGTTCTTCTTTATCATCACCAAATGACATTTACAGTCAGATAAAACTAAACCTATAATTTATAGTCGATGATATCTGCCAATTATAAGCCACGAATATCTGCTTCTTGTTGTTAGATACTTTTCGTTTTTTATCTTCAATAGCAACCGAGATAATCCAGATGTTCAGTTCAAGTGGAACACCAAATCTGTCGTGATTCGCACCATCGTCGATGCAACTTCCACAAAGAAGCACGCGAAAGAAACGCGACACAGAACGTGTTAATTAACGCTACCGTCACCAGTTCTTCGTTCTCCGGCAATACACCGCTAGCAAAACTGTTAAATTGCAGTTATACATCATCGTGTCGCTTCGTTCGTCGTTTCTTACTTCTCCGTACTGTCCTCCGGGCGAGAATTAGCGCGACTATTTTCCCGATAAAACTCAGAAGAACTCGAACTATAAATTCCTCAGGAACGAAACGACGAAGGTCGCGCAAGACTCGAAAGCCACCTTCGAAATCGCGATTATTACGCTTTTTATCTGTTCCACGAGATAGTAGGCGAGTTGAAAAACAGCGTGACTATTATTATTATTTATTTTCATTATTTATTACTACTTGTATTTCGAACAAATTCAAACTGGAAACTTCCCGAAAAGTGAAACGAAAAGAAATCTTGCACGAATCTGAAAACTATCATGCTTTTCATCCATCCATAATTTGTAGGATAGAGATCAGAGATGTAACTGATTTCATCATCAGGTTAGAAATTTTATTTCTTTCTGTTGTTTCTTACTTTCTCGAACTGTTCTCGAAAAATGGCACCTTGCCCAGAGGGAGATCCAAATTACAAACTTCCCAAGAACCTGGAGTTTCCTTCTAAACCATGATTATGTCTCTAATTTGAATAGCAACGATCAAACCACCCTCCTCCCCCAAACAGTCCTTCTCAAATCATCAAATCATTCACGACAAAAGTTAGCCATCTCGCAGAAGAAGCCAAACCTAAAATTTCCTGAAGGAATGAAATAGCGGAAACCGTACAATAACCTGAAACTTCCTCCTATTAAGCCCCTTTTGTAATCGAATTAAAACTTTCCTCTCTTATCAAATTATTCTCAAAATAAGGATTAACGTGACTATCTCTCCCTTCCCTTCCCCCCCAAAAAAGAAAACCAAAGTACAAACTTTCCAAGAAACAAAACTGAGACTTTCACAAGAAACCTGAGACTTCCTTCTAAACCACGATTATCTTATTCCTGCCTAATTTGTATGACATCGTTCCACGGGATCAGAGGAGGATTTCGTGGCCGAGTATAAGAGTTTCCACGCTTAAAAAGTCGTTATTGCGACGAATTCTTCCTTCTTGGCTTGCTACACCGTGCGAAAATATTTGAAGAACGTGTCGGATGACACGCCGCGGGCTTGTATCCCTGTCGACGAGGAGATCGTGGGCCGCATAAATTTGAGAAACGAGCCGAGGTGACTTCGACTACCGGCGGACTTTTTAATCTCTTCGTGCCGAGTCTGGCTGCTGCGCGCTGCTCGTTTTCGTTTCTCTCGCCGACGAAATGGCCACCGGCTCGGATGCAAATGCGCAATTATGATTCCCGGCGATCGTGAAAAGATTTTTTTTCTTTCTTTTTTCTTTCTTTTCGAACTCAAACCCGGGAGCTATCGACAGATCTTGCAACTTTGACTTGCGACTTCTTTCGCTTTTGCTCTACTACTGATTTCTTATTATGTTACATATTATATGATCGACTTGGTTTTTGATTAATATTTTATAATTGACTTAATTGAAAGTACAATACAATTCTGTGAGAAATTAAATTGAAAACTCTCATATATCAATAACTTGTTTCTATAAATTTAATCCAAAATAAATTCAAATGTCATTAATTTATAGAAATTAATCAGTATATCTCTTTAAATGATAGCTTGAATCCTTCGTTGCATTGTAAAGTTTCTCTTTACACTGTACGTTCGTCTGCGAACCGTGGACAGATTACGATCAATACTATTCATTCGGGAGGCTTGTCAAGTTTCAGTAGATCCATCTCGCGGTATCAATGCGTCTAATAAAAATAGGATAATAGTGAATACTTTGCAGTTACTGAATCAAGTAGATGCTGAAATTATTCTGTTCAAAGTGGTATCCACCCTCTGTGCTAACTTTTCGCCCCAAATGTCAATCACAAGAGAAAACTTGGGTAAGCCGGCACTGTAGCCTAAAGCTCTAGATGCCCAAGTTCTCATTTAATGTACCACTAGTGAGCAAACTACACCAATCGAATTATTCATTACGGATATTTATGCAAATGTAAACTTTTACATCATCAGAGTAGCTAGAATCTGAATATCTTGAATACTTTCATACTTCAAATGTCCCAATACTGTGCTCTCCTAAATCCTCAAATTTCTAATTTTTTTTTTTTTTCTCAGTAGTCTGTAGGTGTGTGCAGTGCCTGTAACCTGCATATATAAAGAGAGATGATTTGTGGATACTTGTGAAGTTTAGGGTTTTGTGAGGCTACAGAATGTGGAGTTTGTCAAATTTCTAAATTTAATTTAAACCTTTAAATTTTCAGTAAATGCGTGAAAATCTGCAGATCACGATACTATTGGGTATCTATTTATTTTATAAAATAAAGCCCAGCATTGTTCTCGGTTTTTTTCTTCCAAACGTTGTATTTTTATTATTAAACGCACGAAAAATAAAAATAACTGCAATAACACAATACAACTGTAATGGAAAAATATTCCATTAACATCGAATATTCAGTTTCGAAATCGTATCGATGACAGTCGAAACAAAATATTCCCTACAATAATTTTCACAACATCATCGTTCTTGCAGGTCGAGATGAAGGGTATTTCCGGTCCCATCGAATTCAAAGAAGGACGCAGAATCCAATTCAAACTGGACCTGTTGAAACTCAGGCAACATTCACTCGTCAAGGTGCTTTCCCTCTCTCTTTCTCTCTCTCTCTCTCTCTTTCTCTTTCTCTCTCTGTTGAAATGTCTCGTTTCATAAGCATCGTAAAACATCACGTGAGAATTAAAACAGGTCGGCGAGTGGCGTCCAGGCGCCGGCGTCAACGTGACGGACACCGCGGCCTTCTTCGAACCAGGATCAGCGAACGTCACTCTGCTCGTCATCACTATACTGGTGAGTATTAACCACTCTTAACTCCTCCTCTTTTGAAACGTCGCTGGTTCCTATCTGGAACAACGAGAAGACAATCTCTCGTGTCGCGTATTTTATTTTAATCCTGGAGATCCAGCCAGATCATAGTTGACTCGTTTATTGTTTCGATCTTTTTTTTTTTCGTGATTAATATTTTTAACTTATTTCAAAAAGTCTTTGCAGGAGAATATGAAGATACTGACAAAATTGAAAGATTGCTTAACTTTCGGTGAAAAATCGTTCATGTTCGAACTGTTGCAGATTCGTGAAGAGAAGTTGTATAATGAAGTTTCAAGTTTCTGTGTGTCCACAATAAATAGTTCATCTTTTCTCGATGAAGTTTTACAAATTTGAACGTTTGTACGGACAATGCAGAATTTTTTTCCCCATCGTGGATTTGAAGACTGAAGTTTCTCATTTACAATGACTCCTGAAAACTGCACGCTCGATTTGTCTTTTGTTTCTATCTTTAAATGAAAAGTGTGCGTGACTTACAAATACCATAAAAAAGAAATGAATTATTCAGAAACTTCAAACTTTAAAACGAGTCCAGACAGAATGTTGCACGAACTTACGAACAATTTAAACATGAATAATTTTTCCGCCAGAAATTAAGTGATCCTTCGATTCTTCAGGCCGGTGTAAATAATTTTCACTTGGTTCTCCATGGATAAACAAATCGTTTTCGTTCCGATCTCCGCGCTTGAACGTTGCAACACTTTACGCGAAGCGACAGCCTAGGAAAAAATTCACTAGACACCGATCGAAGATCAACGATCTCGTGAAAAATCGAGCGACGATTCGCTAAATTGATCGAGACGTTTCAGGCACACGAGCGATGCAACGAAGCGTGCATTCGCGGGGGGGAGGACATTTACTTGTGACGAAGTAATAAACAGCAATTATGGAGCCTCGTACTTTATGTCCGGTGTCCGTAGCGCGTCGTATCGAACGATAAAGGCTAAAGTGGCATAAAATCTGCAGCTACGTTTGTCGGGTATAAAACGAAATGCGTCGACGAGTCGTGAAATCGAGGGAGGAAAGAGTTGCTACAGTCTGAAGTTTGAAGATACTGGCCATTTTTGCCACGAACAAATAGGGAAATCGTAGAAACACAAAATTGTCGTAATCCAGTTCAGACTATAGTGCAGCGAATTGTTCATGATTTTTCAATTTTTATTTAGCTTTTGGACACAGAAACGTGTTTTCTTTCTTTGTTTCTTTAATTTCTGTCTTTCAGTTGCTTTTTCTTTCTTTTAATGATGAACGATGAAAATGTTAATAGAAACTGTCAACAACTATCGTGTTTCGGTTCAGATTGTGGCCAATTGTGCGCAGTTTAATTTTCATTTCAAATTTTTCTCATCTTCGTTTTAAATCATCTTCTTCTTTAATTTTTAAGTAACAGAGATTAGACACAAAGTTATCACAGCTCAACTCAGATTGATGGTAAATTATACGCATTCTTTTCTCTTAATTTTCAATCTAAATTTGATTTTTCGTTTCACATTTCAAGAACGAATGTGGAAATAGAAAACCTTTGTAGTCTTTAATATCTATTGTACGTGTGCAATATTATAACTTTGTATATTTACAGATGCCAAACATTCGTATTCTCATTACAGTGTTAATGAAATTTTAATATCTTACACGAAACACGTATTATATAATACATGACACAATATAAACTTCTCTTAATGTTTCATTCAACTAAAAAACACTTTTTTAGTAAGCGTTCGAATATTTCGTTGCTCGCAGCAATTTTTTACAACACAAATATACATATACCTCGCGACTTGAGAAATCTCAATCAAATCCCAACCAGAAATTCTGTTCGCCAGAATCGTGCAAGAAGATTTCAAATCACCGTGAATTTTCCTGTCATTTCGATCGGATTAATCGACAATAACTTCGATATAATAATTACACAATGGCCTATCGACGCAATTTTTTTCGAATTATTCTGGACAGCGATAGAGAAATCGTATCGATACGAGAGAGACGTATCGTGCACCGTGCGAGAAACCGTGTATCGTACAGATCTGACAGCGTGTTCCGTTGTTTGCATGGGGCCGCCCGTTGCCACGCAGGAAATACCGTACGTGATGATGCACTACGAAAAAAACTACACGGGGAACGCGCGGTTTTACGGTTTTTGCGTGGACCTGCTGGAGGCGGTGGCCAGGGAGGTCGGCTTCTCATACAGATTGGAGCTGGTACCGGACAGGAAGTACGGCGCGAAAGATCCGGAAACCGGCGAGTGGAACGGCATCGTCAGAGAACTCATGCGACATGTATGATTTGGTTTGTTTCATTTCTCTCATCTCACTTGGTTCTCCACAACCTTCTCGCTCACGCACGCGAGAAGGTTGGTTTTCCACTTGGGTAACTATAGAACACACACACGCATACTATTTGTAATTACATACAGTTCTCACACGGTTTGACACACCATAGACAGTTTATAGTCTTTTCTTTCTCACTTTCCACTAACTCCATTAGATTACTAACTCTTTAGTCGATACACCATCAACGATACTAACCACTACAACGATTTAACTGTTAACACTCGTCGATAGACACAGACGCACCTGTTAGTTATAATATTAGGTTAGGCTAGACGATCGAATTGAACGTTTGGCGAGTGAATTGCGTTGACGCTTTGATTTGGAGCGTGTCAATCGATGTCTTGGTCAATTGATTAAAAATCAATAATTCTCGAGTAACGGTGGAAGATGAAACATTGGACAGAAAGAGAAATAAAGAAAATAACGTTTGATCGAATGTATTAACCTTGGAACTTCCTCTTCGTAGTCGTAATATTCAAACGCAAAATTTAATCATGTAAAATTGATTGGAATGAAGTTTATTATAATTTTAATTAAAATGTGAAATGTATTAACGCAACGCTGGCCTCTAATGGGTTGAAAATTGTGTTATCTATTCATGCTATTTTATGGTGTTCTACGTGAAATATTGAAGAGCGCTAATAATTATCATAATGAATGTCAAATAATCTTGACTACCTATATTTTATATAAACCTAGTATAACTCGTTTTATGAATTATATACACTTTTTCTGCATTTATATTTCAAATTTTCTTTAATATTTCGTTATATATTAATTTTTGCTATATTACTTCGGAAAACAATTTTCGATCAAGTACAAATATTAGAAATCTCGTCAATTGAATTAAAATCGATGATTTAGTATGACTATTTTATTAAACAAATGAGGTATAAAATAATAATAGAAAGTAATATTTCATAAAATATTACAAATTAAATATAATATTTTATACTTCAATGGTCTCAGTAGTCTTGAATATCTTTGAATAGTTTAATCGAACATTTTTCGTCCGGAGCATTATACGACTAAAAAATAAATATATTAAAATAATCTTTATTTAAAATAATACTCTATTAAAAAATACTCTATTAAATACTCTACAAAAAAAATATACCAAAGTTCTAAGAAATTACTTTTGATACTAGTAGACACTAAAGAAATTACTTTTAAAATAATACTCTATTAAAAAATACTCTATTAAATACTCTACAAAAAAAATATACCAAAGTTCTAAGAAATTACTTTTGATACTAGTAGACACTAAAGAAATTACTTTTAAAATAATACTCTATTAAAAAATACTCTATTAAATACTCTACAAAGAAAATATACTAAAGTTCTAAGAAATTACTTTTGGTACCAGTAGACACTAAAATACCTATTTATTTCGTATAAAGAGCGAGTACAAAAAATTCTTTGACCAAAATTGGCACAATTTTCACCACCAATTAAGACATCAATCGTCACGCTCAAAAATCAAAGTGTTCACATACGGTGCACTCTTAGTACCAGTGGATTAGGTGCTGTATACACAGACACATAGATGAGACAGTAGTCGAGGTAAATAGACAGCTCCTCCGGAATGTATAATACATAATACTTTGGACAAACGCGGAACAGTTTAACCTCTCGATGGGATTCAAGGGTGAAATACGTACTTGTTACGCCAGGAAGGATCGGCTGCACGACTCGATGATGAAAGTTGCGACGTGCGCGCAATACGTGGAGAATACGATCTTTCGATCACTCGACTCAGATTAAAATCACCTCTCACTTGAGGCAGGATACAGAGCAAGATACACGAAAGAGAAAAAAAGCAGGCATTGATTGTTAATCAGACACTCTTGTATTCGCGTTGCTTGTTATTAGAGAGTTCGACGTCTCTCGCGACTCGTCGTTTATCCACCAAACTTGTCTACCGTCTAAATCATCGTGATCAATCAGCCGCGCCACGTCCGGCCGACGAGTCGATGGTAAATCACTATACCGCGCGTTAATTACTCGCGAGTGTCTGCGCGTCGCGTAATGAACGCCGCAAATCCGGCGTGGATCATAAGCTGTTAATTGACGTTCGTCAGCGCGAATCACCGAGATACCTCTGAACTGACGTCTCTTTTATGCTAGTTTGCCACATTGCTGAATGTGTGTCGAAACCTTCTCTTCGTAATATGAAACGCTTTGTGCGATGCTTCGGTTGAAATCTGAATTACCAGCAGACTGCAGATTTCTATGCATTTCAAAATCTTTGACGAACTAGAGAGAAACAGTGGAACAGAATCGGTTTTTGAACGTCGATTTTAGTGAGAAATGTTTCTGACTTTGTTTTTCGATTATTCTTGCGTTTTATTTACGAACGTACAGTGATATGCTCGTTCGACCTTTGAAATATTTTTGCAGTTCAAAATGTATAAAAAGACACAGTCTACTGCGTCTTCGTTTCATTTGCATTCCATATCGGTTCCGGTTCATAAAAAATATGAAAATCCAATGTCATGGAATCCGTAGATGCAAATCTAGGATTGATATAACACATAATATTGATAACAACTGGACTGTGAATTTTTATACGTTTATGGGAATTCTAAATACACAGAAATATATATATATACTTGCACAGAGATTTGTTTCAATTACTGAGTATTATATTGTAATTTATATATATATATATATATAAAATACAAATTACAATATAATACTCAGTAATTGAAACAAATCTCTGTGCAAGTTCAGTTTTTCGGATTTCACTCAGAAAAGGAATATAAATCTGCGAGTCTCTTCTCAGTATAACGTTTCGAAATCCGTGACTTTAACTTTGAATTGCAAAGTGACGATCACGCAATTGAGATAAAGGAGAATAGACGAAAAGTCCATCAACGAAAGTTTCGCAAGTTTCTCTCTCTGTTCCTCTTTCGAAATCAATTCGTTTGCCTGTGAAGTTTGACATGATTAACGGAAGCCGCGACACACACGACCAATTTGCAATTCCGGGCAATACCGAAGACTTCATGTGCAAGCACCCGCCTGCGGGTTTGCCCGTTTACCGAAACAGGATACGCCTCCCTTAGAGAAACTTAAATTAAAGTTAAATGAATTCGATTTTCCAATTACTCGATCGCCAATCGCCCCGTCGACTCGCTATAAATTAACCTAATCTCTTTTACTTAGTACGTGTACGTGTGTGTGAGTGTGTATGCCAAAAAGCAACATTTTTCTGTTCGTGTCTTCGATTGTTGCGAAATATTACGGGATTTGAAGAGACGTGCATTACTCTATTACATTGATATATTCAGATTCATTTATATTTATTTGTCATATCATTTTTATTTATTCATATTCATTTTTTATTTTTTGTATTAATATCAACGTTATCGTGCACAAATGCCTAAACACTTTTAATTTGTTACAACTCAGACAAATTTCTTTAATTTAATCTCAATATACTTAATTAATAGATTAACAGATATTAGCAAAGGAAACAATTAATATCATAATAATTAAATGTTTAAAGAAATTCTGCAGAGTGACTTGAAGTATGTCTTCGTTATTTAAAATCTTACGACTCATTCGAAACGTGCATACCTATGTTTTCAATCACACTCGTCGAAAGTTCAAAAACTTTTGAAAATCATCAGAAGAACATATATATAAATAATTTATTTATATATATTATAATATATTACATTTATAATATAAATAATTTAATTAATATATTATAATAATATATTATATTTATAGCGTAAATAATTTATATATGTATATATATTATTAAATTATTAAATATATATATATATATATTATATATTTAATAATTAGTATATATATTATTAAATTATATATGTACATATATTATTAAATAATTTACATAGAAGGGATCGCGTGCAATAATAATAATAATCGCCCAATTATTATAACATATGCACGGTAGTCTAGTGAAACAAACAAGAGAAACTAATATCGTTCGCTATACTGTACGGTGATACGATATTGCATTACTCTCCCCCAATGTTTCTCCTCGGAGTGTCGAGTTCGCGTCACATTTGCAAAACGAGTTATATATCGCGTCGCGTTGAAAGAAAACAGAAAGATAGGGTGAGGTCACAAATGGAAAACTTTCTTACATTTTCGTTTATCTTTTTCTTCGTTCTTGCGGCGCGCCACGTCGGCGCACGAGGGAACGTTCGTGGTAATAGTCTATCGAGTGGTAATCCATTTAAACGGTAATCAGCATCGAACGCCGTCGAGTACCAGGTCTCGGTGCGTCGTGCATCTGCGGTAAATATCGATCAGACTCGAGAGACGAGTTCGAGACACGAGTGGAACGATGGTTGCTTGATGGCCGGCAAACATCGTCGTCTTTATTCCTTTCTTTTACTACTGATCGTTCGTCTCCCCTTTATCCAGAAAAGGAGAAATAATCGGCGTGATTTATAAATCTCGCGCCACGTAGCTATCTCACGGGTTAAGTATCTAGAGGAAGAGGTTAGTGGTAAGAGTTTCAAACGGTAGAACCATGGAGAGGAAGGATAGCGTGCCATTTGTACAAACGATTATTCTCGCGAAGGGAGGATCGAGATTCTTGGAAGGAAAAGAGTGAGAAAAAAAAAAATGAAAGGTGAGATATTAAAGGAGCTATTAAGACCGTTCGAGACCGACGAATTTTTCGAAGACTGTCGACAACAGATATTTCCTCTGCTTCTCGGAGTAGAATTACGTTCATGCTTGCGAAAGATGCAATATCTTGCTATTAATATGAAAAGGTGTGGATTTCATCCAGTGTATCGCATACTTACAATTAGTTTGATGTTTCTCTAAGCAAGGAAATCTAATGAACTAATTTAATGATTTCACATGAACGAAATAGTATCTTTGATATATTTCAAGAACTTCGATGTTCTTGGGTATCTTTAATTACTTACGTTCAATCGAAAATCTTACCCAGAGTT